ACCCCTGTAAAACTTGATGGAGGGAATAGTCCTAGAAGATCAAACAGAGTTAGGAGACCTGTAATTAAATTAGACCTCTAATTATCTGAATTGTGAACAGGTCCTTTCAAAACTGTTTAGTTAGGAAGTTATATTTGTTGTGTTCTATTCCCTTCTTCCCTGCCATATGTAATTCTGTAAGTTTTGTTTATTTAGGATTTGTAGCAGCCATGCTCTCTTTTGAAAGGGAGAAATAGTGTTTAATATATATGTATGTTTATATGCTGCCTTTATTGAATATATATATTATATATTATGTTACTTCTTACCAAAGTCAGAAAGTGTTTAGGGTTGTGTAAAAACGAAATGTGTTAGGCACGTTGTAACCAAGAACAGAGAATAAACGCCCAGCCAGACAGACTATGTGACTCGTCATTCTCCCATTAAATAACGCAAGATACTACAGTCAACAGAGTGGATACACGAAAATGCCATGTTTTTTTGTGCGAGTGGGACAGCAGAGCAAGACGTGAACATTGGGACAAAAAACACTGGCCACCTAGACAGGCTCTTGTGCCAGGTTCAAAAAATATTCTACATGAACCATTGATTGACCCCAAGAAAGTGCTGTTCCCTCCTCTGCATATTAAATTGGGGTTAATGAAACAATTTGTAAAAGCCCTAGATAAGGAAAGTGATTGTTTCAGGTACATCTGCAGGGAATTTCCATCGGTCACATATGAAAAAAAATTAAAGCTGGCATTTTCGTGGGCCCTCAAATCCGAACCAGTGTGAGAAAGAAGCATGGAATAGTTTCAATAATGTTGTGTATGTTTTTTTAGGCAATCGAAAAGATCTAAACTATCAAAACATTGTTGAAGGTATGTTGAATAACTTTAAAAACATGGGTTGCAATATGAGTGTAAAAGTGCATTTATTACTTTCCCACCTTGAGTATTTTCCTGAAAATTTAGGTAGTTTAGGCGAACAGCAAGGTGAAAGATTTCACCAGGACATTAAGGAAATGAAAGAGGTATCAAGGAAGGTGGAATGTGAACATGATGGCACACTACTGCTGGATGCTGAAGACAAATAGCCTTAATCACAATAATCTTTAGGTTTAGATAACTTTGAAGCCTACTAAATTGTCTTATTTGTATTATCTTATCATATTTGTTTAAGTTATATTATCTTGTCTTATTGGTAATAAAATGTGACGTACTAGAGCAAAACAAATTTATTTTGAAATCCTTGATAAAAAAACGAATCAGAATCACGTCTCAGTTTTAAAACATTCAACTTTTCTTTAAATGCAGACCGGTGGAAAATCAATCATACACTTGGCCCATACATCATAAATAAGCACACCCACACCTTCCTTCCAGCCTGGTATATATGATGTTCAAAATGCTCAGAATAGGGAGATATAAATGTTTCACTTGAGTCCCTTGGGGTTGTTTACCAATGATAACCTCTCAGACGAAGACTTAAAACTACGTAAAATCAATTAAATTCAATTGTGTCGCTATTATCCATTTCCGCCTGTTATATATGGGGTTTAAAATGCGCAGAATAGGGAGATCTATATGTTTATAGAATTAGGGCGCGCTATGTCCTAAAGTAAAATATATGTATACCTAAGGGTAACACTCACAATATCCTGACATAAAAACATAAGAACATAAGAAAATAAGGAGTCTGCAATAGGCCGGATGGCCTGTGCATGGCAGCTCCTGTCCAGAGTTACTACCACTCTCTATCATCCATGAATCTATCTAGCCTCCTTTTAAAACTTTCCAGCGTTCCAGCACTAGTAACAAAGTTGCTAAGCTTGTTCCACTCGTCCACCACCCTATTTGTGAACCAGTTCCTTCCTATCTCCCTCCTAAATCTAAACTTATCTTAAATCCGTTGCTTCGAGTCCTATCCTGCTCGGATATTATAAGAACTTTATTTATATCGCCTTTATTGATTCCTTTCACCCACTTAAATACTTCTATTATATCTCCCCGCACTCTTCGTCGTTCTAGGGAATGCAAGTTTAGTTTCTTTAACCTATCTTGATATGGAAGGTTTCTAAGCCCCGGAATCATTTTCGTCATTCTTCGCTGCACCGACTCCAGTGAATTGATATCCATTCTACAAGGGCACCAGAACTGAACCGCATAATCGAGGTGCGGCCTGACTAGCGCAAGACATAGTTGCAATAAGACCTCTGCACTCTTATTACTTACACTTCTAGATATAAAACCTAATACTCTGTTTGCCTTATTTCGAACATTAACGCACTGTTTTCTAGGCCGTAGGTCCGGGCTTACAAGTACCCCTAAGTCTCTTTCACAAGTCGACTTCTCTAGGTTGATGTTGTTAAGGCTGTATACATTGATAGTATTTGTTCTTCCAATATTAAGTACGCTGCACTTGCTGGTGTTGAATTTCATTTGCCATTTTTTTACCACTCCTGCAGTGTATTTAAATCCTCCTGTAGTGCATTTGCATCCTGCCCTGAAATAATCTGCCGCCCTCTTTTGGTGTATGCAAATCGTTTATGTAGATTATAAGATAAAGTGGGCTGCAAAAATTCTCTCACTTAACTGTATTAGCATTTAAACATGCAGCTTTTGTACGTAATGAATATGTCATCCATCATCTAAGCAGAACTGAGTTCAACTGAGGCTGACTGAGGAGAAACGCCAACAGACCGACCACTCTCCCCTGCTGTCCAAATGAGTCATACGTCTGGCACTTCATTTTTACCTCACGCTTCACTTTTGCTTTGCCCACTGAATTCGTGATCTTTAAGCAATCCGGAACCGCGGTGTTAACCGTGGAAGTGGTGGCCACGGTTCCGCTAATCCGCTAACCGCTAATTTGCGAAGCTAACTTTCTCGTTAGCGGATTAGAGTTTTCTCTAACTTTGGAAACCATAAGCGGACCAATTAGCTTCCTCTAAATTTAGTTCCGCTAACTTTAAGTCCTCTAACAAAATTTATACATGTTTGTTCCTGTCTGTTGTAAGCGTGTGACGCCGCGACACCTGTCTCCAACAGCCAGTCAGACATGCTTGGCTGACTGCGTGTTAGTACGTGCAAAGATATCTTGAGGGCCAAGAGAGCCACCCTGTCAGATGGCACCTTTGAGAGGCTGATGTTTATGAAGGGCAACCAGCATTACGCCGAGGCGATGAAGGCCCAGCCACTGCAGCCGGAGTGAATGGAATTTTTCGATTATTAAAGTTTAATATTTTTTTTTTACAGTAAATAAAGACTGGCAGTGTATATTGAATGAATCATAGAATGTAATTGTAAACTAATGTATAATTTCATTTCTCATTTATTTGTTAATTTAATTAGGATTTTTTGTGTCAATATATTTGGTTATGCTAAGTACTGCATAAGTTCATAACCAGGATGTCATCCAAGGTGTGCGCCAAACAAAATTTTCTAAAAACTTACTTTTCATTAAAGTTTAGAGTTTTCTGTTTATTTACATGACTAAGACCAACAATAAGTTATATAAAAATGCACTGGTATAATGACTAAGACCAACAATAAGTTGTATAAAAATGTACTGGTATAATGTGTATGTGGTTGGTATTGCATATTTACATGAATAATGAATAAGGCCGATAGGTTGTATGAGAATTCAAATTAATTATTTGTGAAATTGTGTACAGTGTACACCTTGATAAGTTGATCGTCATTTGATCTTGGCATGATGCTATTTGCTACCTATGCTATACAGTGCTATAGTTTTTGGATTCGTTTAATACTTTCTGTCTTTTCATAGAGTAAATAAAGATTATAAAGTGTATGTTGAAACTGAATGTTAACTAATGTTTAATTTCATTTGTTCATTTAATTATTTGAGTACACCTTGACCATCATCTGATCTTGGCTTGCTATACCTTTTTGGAAAGCTCTATGTCTAAGCTACAGGGCCGGATTCAGGAGTGGGCAAAGTGGGCAGCTGCCCAGGGGCCTCCACAATCTGGGGGCCTCCACATATTACAATATTTTATTTATTTGTTTATTCATTTGGATTATTTTTATTTTCATTCTTTAAAATTCATGGGAATTTGTACACTATCAATAAATATACAGTTAATTAATAATTTCTCAATGTTCTAATTTCCTCAATATAACTGCATATGGCTTCAAAATTCTCCAAAGAAGTGTTCAAATTTCAAAAATTTCCCGGGGGGCTTACAGCGCCCCCCGGAACTCCCAGATGTTTAGGCTCGCTTCACTCGCCACCCCACCCTCTTGGGTAGATATAATGAGGGGGGCCTCCACAAAGAGGCTGCCCATGGGCCTCCACAGGTCTAAATCCGGCACTGTCTCTAGGTCTGCTAGCGTCTGTTAGCGGTTAGCGTTAGCTTCCGCTATTTTTTAGCTGTTTAGCGGTTTAGCGTTAGCGAAGTTAACTTTTATTTAGCGGATTAGCGGTTAGCGAAGCTAACTTTTCGTTTAGCTGTGCCCACCACTGCCATTAGGCCACTATACGAGCATGTTGTAATTATTGCATCACAGTTTGTATATATATATATATATATATATATATATATATATATATATATATATATATATATATATATATATATATATATATATATATATATATATATATATATATATATATTAAACAAGTGGACGATAAAAATAATAAGGTTTATAGCAGAAAATGCATTTTATTCCTTTTTTTTCGTTGTGCCTTTTCATGCTAAAAGGAATTTCCGGAGCAGGGAGGTTTTACATATTTTTTTTTTATTTCATTCCCCTCTTTCTTTTTCCATTTTTTAAAGCTTCTTCTATATTTCGTTTTATTTTACCTCACTATATTTAATGTGGTAGCATATCGCCTTTTGACATTGAGACTCAGAGAGTTGACGAATATTTCTGTGTTTTTTACTTTTCATATTTTTACATCAGAATGAAAACGAAAATATACATTTCGTCTATGTCCCACCTTTTCAAGTCACTGTAACTTAAGCGACAATATCTCTTTTCCCCATACAGAAACTGTGGTTCTTGCACGTGTGGCCCTCACTGCAACAAGAGATGCGGACACAAGAAGTTCTCGCTGCTGTTCTCCAACCTATTCTCCAACTGATCTCTGACATCTCCACGGATGAGTACGAGAACATCGTCCTCCCTCACTTCAGGTAAGGTTTCGGACACTTATAAGCCCGGAAGATGACAAGGTGGGAGGAATAAGCCGCTCTGATACAGAAAATGGGAGCATATTAACTTTCCTTTCAATATTCCTCCATTCCATTGTATCTTTGGGCGTCAAGAGAGGGAGATTTGGGTGAAATCCTTACGAAATAACGGTGAAAAGGTTGGTATAATGTAACAGAAATTCAAACTGATGAGCAGGGAAAAATCAAAGGTTTCCTGAAAGAGAGGGACACGAACCCACTAAGAAGACGGTAAACAAGACCTTTACTGCATGTGATCTTTCGCTTCCTCTTTATAAACTTGAAGTCGACAGCGGCAAAAAATATAATGACGGTTATTTGTCTTGCCTCTAAATATATTTCCACGCTGGTTGGTTGTTATGATTGTAGCTTCTGTTTATTACGATGCAAATAGGCAAATAGATCAGTTGACAAACATAAATACATACATATATACATACATACATACATACATACATATATACATACATACATACATACATACATACATACATACAGACAGACAGACTACTACTCCATTGCTGTCTCTCGGAATAGAGTATGACGATCATCCAGGTATGAGTCACTAATATGAGTTATTAGGGGATGTCACCTTCGTTGGTGAGCTCTGGGGTGACTAGAGAGGCCGATACAGGACTGGCGGTGTCGTCCACAGAATGTTGCACGTGTGGAGGGCTACATCTAGTGCGGGAGGGGCGGCAGCAATGTCTTTCAGGCGTTGACGCTTGTCTGCCTCAGTATGCATTCGGGCTAACTCGAAAGTATTGACACCTTCTCGTTTGATGGTCCTCCAAGCGTTACGGTGTGGCGTAATCGTCTCGCAGGTGAGAGGGTCGATTTGGAACTTCAGGTTTGTCTTAAGACTATCCTTATATCTTTTCAGTTGCCCGCCAGCATTATGTTTACTATTTGTTAGGTGACTGTAAAGTAGCTGCTTTGGCATGTGTTGGTCACACAATATATATATATATATATATATATATATATATATATATATATATATATATATAGATATTGATATATTAGTTCTTGAATTGATAAGTGGCAGGGCTGAAGTAAACACTTTGTTGGTTTTGCTTTATTGTAGAAAAATATAATTTCACAGGTACTGAGTTCAGTTGAGAATATATTGTACCTTCCCTACTAAGGGAAGTGTCTTAGTGCACTTATAAGAGAACACTTAAGTGAGGTGATCACTGGATAACAAGAGATATGAGAGTATCTCACTCACCCAGGGAGAGAGGGCGGACAGGCAGGCCTCTGGAGGAAACACGTCAGATGTGTTGTTGCTGACATGCGCTGACCCCAGCCTGACCTCACTCGCTCCCGGTAGGGAATGTCACCTCAGCAATTCATACATCCACATAGTTGAATGACCTGGTGAATAATTTGGTTTTATACATTTGGGTAAATATTTATATAATACAAATGGTGCCGTTACAGGCAGTCTACTGTCGTCCATGCCGGTAATATGGCCAGTCCAACGTAGTTGTTCATGGATAATGGTAGCGTCAATGCACCTACAGTTGGTGTCAGTGAGAATACTGGCATTTGTTCTCTTGTCTTCACACCGAGTTCGGAGTATTGAACGTAAACTACATTGGTGAAAGTTTTCAAGTGCCCTGAGGTGCCTCCTGTATGTGACCCATGTCTCGCTGCCATATAGCAGGGTGGGGAGGACAAATGCTCAATATACGTGTAACTTTGTAGATAATTTCAGCTCGATGCAGACACGGGTACGGAGTCTGCCAAAGGCTTGAGATGCACATCTGATTCGATATTGAATCTCTTCATCGATGTCGGTGGTGGTGGACAGGTGGGAGCCGAGATCCTGAAAGTGGGTAACATTAGAGAGGGTAGTACCATTAAGCTGGATGGATGGTGAAGGTGTGGCTGAACCAAGGGCAGGCTGAAAGAGAATCCGAGTCTTACGTACATTCACCTCAAGGCCGAAGTGTGCACAAGCATCTGCGTAGGTGTTCAGGAACTCCTGTAGGTCGCATTCAGTGTGAGCGACAAGGATGAAGTCGTCTGCATACTGAAGTGCAGCAATGGAAGTTGCAGACACCTTTGTTCCTGCCTGGAGTACTGGATGTTCACCCTGACGGCCAAATTGGCACTGGCACGAGTTAAGCAGCCAGCCAAGAAAATGGAAAAGAGAGTTGATGCCAGTACACATCCTTGTTTTACCCCTGTTTGGATGGGGAAGAACTCAGACTGGGTGCCATTGTGCAAGCAGGACACTGTCGTTCATGCCAGAGGGTTTCCTTGTTGACAGAGTTAAAGAACATAAGAACATAAGAAAATAAGAAGTCTGCAATAGGCCGGTTGGCCTGTGCATGGCAGCTCCTGTCGAGAGTTACTACAACTCTCTATCATCCATGAATCTATCTAGCCTCCTTTTGAAACTTTCCAGAGTTCCCGCACTTACTACAAGGTTGCTAAGCTTGTTCCACTCGTCAACCGCCCTATTTGTGAACCAGTTTCTTCCTATATCCCTCCTAAACCTAAACTTATCCAACTTGAATCCGTTGCTCCGAGTCCTATCCTGCTCGGATATTATAAGAACTTTATCTATATCCCCTTTATTGATTCCTTTCACCCACTTAAATACTTCTATCATATCTCCCCGCACTCTTCGTCTTTCTAGGGAATGCAAGTTTAGTTTCTTTAGCCTATCTTGATATGGTAAGTTTCTAAGTCCCGGAATCATTTTTGTCATTCTTCGCTGCACCGACTCTAGTGAATTTATATCCATTCTATAATAGGGGCACCAGAACTGAACTGCATAATCGAGGTGCGGCCTAACTAGCGCAAGATATAGTTGCAATAAGACCTTTGCACTCTTGTTACTTACACTTCTAGATATAAAACCCAATACTCTGTTTGCCTTATTTCGAACATTAACGCACTGTTTTCTAGGCCGTAGGTCCGGGCTTACAAGTACCCCTAGGTCTCTTTCACAAGTCGACTTCTCTAGGTTGATGTTGTTAAGGCTGTATACATTATAAGTATTTGTTCTTCCAATATTAAGTACTCTGCACTTGCTGGTGTTGAATTTCATTTGCCATTTTTCAGACCACCCCTGCAGTTTATTTAGATCCTCCTGTAATGCATTTGCATCCTGCCCTGAATTAATTTGCCGCCCTATTTTGGTGTCATCCGCAAACTTGCTTATGTCACTGCTGATCCCAGTATCTAAATCGTTTATGTAGATTATGAACAAGAGTGGGCCTAATACTGACCCCCAGGAACCCCACTGGTTACACGGCCCCACTCAGATTTAACACCATCTACGCTGACCCTCCGCGTTCTATCGGTGAGCCATGATTTTATCCAATTTAAAACTTTCCCCTCGATACCATGAGCCTTAATTTTTCTCAGAAGCCTCTGATGCGGTACTCTGTCAAATGCTTTGCTAAAGTCTAAGTAAATAACATCGTAATTTTCGTCATTATCTACTACCTCGAAGACTTTCCTAAAAAACGTTAGCAGATTTGTTAGATAAGATTTTCCCTTTGTAAACCCATGTTGAGAGTCGTAGATTAATTTGCTTTTCTCTAGATGCGATCGGATGCTATCTGCTATAATTGATTCAAGAAATTTCCCCACTACTGACGTCAAACTGATCGGCCGGTAATTTGACGCTGATGCTCTGTCTCCCTTTTTGAATATGGGTACTACATTTGCCTGTTTCCACAACTCTGGCACAACTCCAGTGTCTAATGATTTTGTAAATAAGTTTACGAGGGGTCCGCTAATCTGTTCCCTACACTCTTTTAAGACTCGAGGAAAAATTTCATCCGGCCCTGGGGATTTTGTATTCTTTAGTTTATTTATCTTCTTAAGAACATCCTCTTTTCTGATAGTGATATTCTTTAATTTCTCTTCTTCCTTTCCCTTAAATATCAGTTCCACCTCCGGAATTTCATCCCAAATTTCTTCTGTGAAAACTGATAAGAAGTAGCTGTTCAATGCTTTGCTTATTTCTTCACTGCCATTTATCAATTCTCCCCTCCCTGACTTTAAAGGCCCAACTTTGTCCTTGACCTTTGTCCTATATACCTGGAAAAATCCCTTGGGATTCGCCTTGGATTCTCTTGCTATTTTGATTTCATAGTCTCTCTTTGCTTTCCTTACATTTTTCTTAACATTCCTAGATAGTTCATTATACCTGTTTCTGAGCTGCTCCTCCCCTCCCTTTAATTTCTTATATATTCCTTTCTTTATTCCTATGTCATATTTAAGTTTTCTGGTCATCCACCTTGGCTCATTCTTATTTGACCTAATTTTTCTGTGTGGTATATTTTGTTCTTGTGCTTTATGTAGTATACTAGTGAATATATTATAGTCTTTGGTTAGGTCGATGAAGGCCATGTACAGTCAGAAACCATAATCTCTGACCCACTAGGTTGAGCGGGAGGTGAGGCTAGGGTGGTGTTTCTGGTCTGCTGCTCACTGCAATGGCCCAGTGGCCAGACACAGGTTGAACAGGCTAGGCGATAGTTCAACAAAAATATACAGGCGGGGCGATAGTTCAACAAAAGTATGCAGGAGAGTTCCAGCTGGGCACTGAGGATAGAGCCAGGGTAGCCAGTAAGTCTTCATAAGAATATTTGATGTTAATGATATTGGTATTAAAAATGATATTGATCATGTTAACGATGTAGGTGTAAGAAAATCCTCTTTTTAGTCAGTTGTTCATTACCATTTCAGCATTAACATTAATGTCTTAATAAAATGATAAACCAAAGTTACACAAACTGAAACAACAATAATTTATATTTCAACAAGTAATATTGACAACTAAGACATTCTTTAAAACTGATGTTAGGAGTAATATCCCAATCAGTGTGGTGATTAATGCGATGGTGTTTGTGATGATGTTGCTTCTCTGTGTGGTGAGTGTGATGATGGTGCTTCTCTGTGTGGCGAGTGTGATGATGGTGCTTCACTGTGTGGTG